GGTTGGCCAGGACAGAAGGGACAAAAAAAGTGGGTGTCGTGCCTAATTCCGTGTCTGCTACTGACACATCTTTTTTGGGGTGTCTTTTGGGTTGGGGTACCAGGAATGGCATCGGGAAAATGCCTCTCATGCAGCCGGCTCACTTCATCTGGGTTGGGGGTTTGGGCCACAGCACCTTCTGGCTACAAAGGGCTGTGATGATCTGTTCCTGGAGTTTTAGAACCACTTCATCCAGTTGCTTTGTAAAGCACAAAAGCTTTGTACAGAGCCAATTGAAATAAATAACCAGGCACTTTTTTTTTTGTACCAGTGTCTGGCTTTTCGGGAAATTAAGTACGGCTTCATCATCTGGTCGTTGAAGTCCACCCCTCCCATGTTAAGGTTATAGTTGTGGACACAGAGGGGCTTCTCAACAACACCAGCTGCCGTGGAAATTTGGATGGTCGTGTCTGTGTGAATGGAAGACAGGACGAAAACATAAAATAAATATAAATCACTATTTCTACCCAATTACTTTTAAGCACACTTCACCTCTACCCTTAAAGGTGCACAAATATTAACATAAATATGCTCAGTGAAAAAATAATAAAAACCCTTCCTTAAATTATACCATAATAATTTCCAATTAAAGTCCAAAATATAAAAATCAAAAACCAAAAAAAGGATGAAAACATCCCATTTGTCCTTCCACTTAACTTCTATAAATCCATAAAAATTTTTGTTCTTGCCACTCTTCCATAAAGGCAGATTTGTGGAGTGCACGACTAATAGTTGTCCTGTGGACATATTCTCCCACCTGAGCTGTGGATCTTTGCAGCTCCTCCAGAGTTACCATGGGCCTCTTGGCTGCTTCTCTGATTAATGCTTTCCTTGCCCAACCTGGTAGTTTAGGTGGACAGCCATGTCTTGGTAGGTTTGCAGTTGTGCCATACTCTTTCCATTTTCGGATGATAGATTGAGATGTTCAAAGCTTGAGATTTTTTTTTTATAACTTAACCCTGCTTTAAACTTCTTCACAACTTTATCCCTGACCTGTCTGTGTTCCTTGGCCTTCATGATGCTTTTTGTTCACTAATGTCTAACAAACCTCTGAGGGCTTCACAGATCAGCTGTATTTATATTGAGATTTAATTACAAACCGATGGACTCTATTTACTAATTAGGTGACTTCTGAAGGCAAATGGTTCCACTAGATTTTAGTTAGGGGTATCAGAGTAAAGGGGGCTGAATACAAATGTATACCACACTTTTCAAATGTTTATTTGAAAAAATGTTGAAAACCATTTATCATTATCCTTCCACTTCACAATTATGTGCCACTTTGTGTTGGTCTATCACATAAAATACATTTACATTTTTGGTTGTAACATGACAAAATGTGGAAAGTTTCAAGAGGTATGAATACTTTTTCAATGCACTGTATTTGTAAATGAAGCTTCGTACATTGTCATTTTCTGACTTCAGGGAATTCTACATTCACTTTCCTAGGGCTAGTAGTAAGCATCGTGGGAACTCAGACAGTGGCATCAGAAGAGTGTGCGGTTTCTGTATTTTGTGTTCATATTCCCAAGCCTGGGTAGCTTTTCCTGTATAATATGCACTCCAGCTTCAGTTTGTACAGTTCAGAGTTCTTATTTTTAAACTGTTTCTCTGTCTTTCTGCAGGTCTGGAGTTGTATGTCGGGTAAAATACTGCAATACATTACCTGATATTCCCTTTGATCCCAAATTTATAACATACCCCTTCGATCAAAACAGGTAAGTGAGTGCCACAAACTGTAATGTTTGCCGAGATGCCAGTTCTCTTCTGATCAGGCCTGATGTCTTCTTCCAGATTTGTGCAGTATAAAGCCACATCTCTTGAAAAACAACACAAACATGATCTTCTAACTGAGCCAGACCTGGGAGTCACCATTGACTTGATCAACCCTGATACATATCGCATAGACCCCAATGGTGAGTAAAGATGCAGGACCACGTCACTTCCTGCCACCAGTGACCCTTTCTTTTAAGTTTACAATTATCCCTTGGACAGGATATATAGCAATTACACTTTCCTGCAGGCTTGACTGAGAACATTTTGAACCACTGACATCAGTTTCAGCCTTGAGTGCTCATCCCTGCCTTTTAACAGACTTAAGTGTTTGTTCCATGTTTGTATGTGTTTTGAATGCTGTACCATAACAGTAATATTGTGCAAACAATTTCTGTGCTGTCTGTGAGCTGTCAGGTGTCTAAATAAAATCCTTGTCAGAATGCTGCCATAGGTAAGTGTTCATTCCTAGCAGTCAGGTGGTTTCAGGACAAAATAAGCAGATAAGGAGTTTTGATTTCACTCTGACTTTCTAAATAGTGACCCTGTGTTTTTTTTTTTTTTTTTCTTTAAATTGTCTATCCTGAAAATGGTCTCTCTCAATGAAACCTTGGCAGATCTTATCATTTTCTTTTCCTAGCAGTCACTTTTCTCTGTGGCCAATTTACCCCACACCCTATACAACCAGCTGGCAAGGAAATGCTCACCTCAGATTATTGCTGGGTAAATCATCCACAGCAGTTAGTGCTTGAAATCACAAAGGGGATAAATTGCTTGTAAACAGGACTTTGTAAAATATCCTGGATTGAAAGATTGTTTTCCAAACAGCTTGAATAATTTAGTGCACCATTGGTGCAATTGCGGCCCCAATAGGTGCGCTTACAGTGTTTTACCTGTAATTTAATGCAGTTCATTCTCTTCACCATCCATTGACAAAAAAAGTAACAAACCTAAAGCCCAGAAAAAAACTTTTTTTTTTTTTTTTTTTTTTTTACTTTGATCAGTGTTAAAAAAAAAAAAAAAAAATAATACTGTAGATTAAAAGTAAAATGACAATGAATTAAAATTGTGATACAATCAAAAGGGTTTTTTTTTTTTAATGTTGCATTTTATTAAAAGGTAGAAAATGGTTAAATTTAAGTATTATTCTAAAAATTAGTCATCTGGAAAATAATTGCAAAATAAAGAAAAAAAGTAGGCGCTACTACTTTTAAATAAGTGAAAGTGACTCAGAAAAATGGAAAAAAGAGAGTATACGTGGTGTGAATAAATACAAATTGTGGGCAGTCGACTGGGACTCCCTTGCGGCCTCTCAGCTGGCTGCCAACTGCGCATGCGTCCCGTGATTTGTCCTGCAGTCTCCTTGGACATCTGACATGTCCCAAGAGGCTGCATGGGAAGGAGGAGGGTGAGGAACTTCAGCTCCATTCACCTAGGCAGCCAGAGTGGAAGGAGCAGCGGTTATCTGTTCAGAATCCGGTACCTGCTCCCCTTCCTCCCTCCAAAAGACACTTCAAACATGGAAGAGGAGGAAAAGCAGAACTTCCCCTTTTGGGTGTAGTTCCACTTTAAGTCACAAAACACGTCTGAAACCAGAATATATATCTTCCCAAACACTGTGCTCTTAAACAATAGTGGAATGTTTTAATCGAAATGCTGTGCACCGCCACATGTGGGGAAGAAATGCTCATTCACCAAACCTTTTATGACCTGTGAAAGCCTGCCAAGCCTTTATAATTTAAACTACTAAGGTGGAGACAAAGAGGATCCAGTGGCACCATAAGCTCTAGTACTACTCTCAATGGATGACACATGACATATTTCCAAATTTATAATAGTCTCAGTGTATTATATTTATTTGAATAGAGACATCATAAAACATAACTTTTGTACTCCCATTTATTTGTGTCTCTGAGGCAACAGCTCGAACAGCCTTCAATAAGCTAGTAGTGAGGGCAGCGCCGTTCACATCCACAGCGTGCGTTCCACAGACTGGAAATCGTTCCTCAGATATGACAACAGCGGCCCATCCTCAATCCATTTCGCAAACATACACCCTCAGGAAGCATAGCCTCCAGTAACTTATCTAATTGTATTCAATCCCCCTTGAATTTAAAAGACCAGTAAGATGGCAGAGGACAAATTTTTGCGTAATGCTTTGAGGCTAGGCTGCTGCCCGTATATTTGGGTCTTGGTGACGTCCTATTAAGGGAGCGAGTTCCCGTCTGTGGAATGCACTCCTTAAAGCGGAGCTCCACCCAAAGGGGGAAGTTCTGCTTTGACTGCTCTCCCGCTCCCCATTAAGGATTGGCACCTGTGGGGGGGGCGTAGTCTTTTGAGACACGTGACAGATCCCAGAAGACTACAGGACCATTCATGAAGCACAGTGCTACTCGTGCATGCACAGTGGGTACCCGGCTGTGAAGCCGCAAGCTATCACAGCTGGGTTCCCACACTGAAGATGCTGGAATCCAGGATGGCTGGCGAAACGGGCTGCGGGGGACACACCACAGTTTTTTTGTAGCTGCAGACATTTATTTTTTGACAGGTGAGTGGAACTCCACTTTAAAGTGGCTGTAAACCTCAGACATGAAATATGAACAAAGCATAGCCCTTTATAGTGTGTTCTCCTCACTGAGCTCTGCAGAATGTAACTTCAGCTCTCCACCTCATTTTTTTTAACTGCTCTACAAGCTTTATAAAATGAGCACTATGAAATGTATGTAGAGAAGAGATTACAGCAGATAGACAGGTACAACTTATGTGGGAGGATTTGTTTCATCTGTGTATTACCTGAGGCCAGTCACTTCACTGGGTGAATGTAAGCGTTTACACTTTAAATGTGGTAGCTGCTTTGATATTAATTTTTTCTTCCCCCAAGAGTGTTTGTTTTTGTTTTTTTACACTATCATGGTTTGCACTTTGTATCAAAATAAAAATAAATGTACCTTTTAACATTTCCTTTAAGAATTAAAGCTTAACTGAACCCGCACTGTTTTAACTATTTCTCAAAAGAAAGTTCAGATATGTTCATTAAACGTATGACCAAAGCCTGTTTGGTCATACTTCTCATGTGGGTCACAGCAGTGCACTTTTGCATCCCTGTGGCCCAGAATCAGCTGACAGTGAGCTAAAGTCTGCTGCTGTCGGCTGACGTCCGAGCCGCTTCAGTCACTGGATGTATCCAATAATGTCGGGATTCACCCAGATGCCTGACTGGCAGCTGTCTCAGACTCTAAGAGCACCGCTGAAAGCCTGAGCCATCCGCTCCTGCCCCCTCCACAGCCTGGCGCTCCACTGATCACTGGAGGAGCAGAGCACAGAAGGGTGACTGACAGTTACTGCTCTGTCCAGAGTGGACCAAGAATGAGTGATTAGCGGTCACTTGATGACTTAGTTCGCAGGCTTAGAGATGACCGGGTGCAGCTGCATCATCGGATCGATGGTGCAACCATAGAGGTGAGTATGTATGTTTGTTTGTTTTTTCACTTCCCACTCTTTTCCTTTTTAAATACTTTTTGTCAAACTTTTTTGCATTGTTTTCATTTATACTCTGCCTACTAGCCCACACACAGTGTATGCTTCTGGTGAGAACAATCACAGTTGTCAGCTTGCTTGTCTACTCTCAACTGAGCTTTCCAGCCCTCAGATGGGTGGTGTCACAGCTGATCATATGTGCAGTACAATGGCAACTGCAGATCGAAAAAGAGGCCAAGATGGCATGTCCTCAGCACAATGGAGGGTTTAGTTACACCTTACAGAATGCATCGGCTTTTTCTAAATTAAATTGATAATAAACATACAAAATTATTACTTTTAATTGCAGTCCCCCTGGATATAGCTGACGAGAAGCTTCTTGAAGAAGAAATTCAGGCACCCACCAGCTCCAAGAGGTATTGTTTATAACTTTGTGCTTGTCATCTTTCCACGAGCCCTGTCATTTAATTCCTCTTACTTTACATAAAGGACCATTTAAAGTGGAATTCCAGTCTATACCCAACTACTCCTCCCCCTCCTGTGTTAGGACACTTATACTGACTAACCTGTGTAAGAAAGATAGGTATATACTTGCCTATTTTCTGGCTGCTCCGGTTTGGTCATGTGATCTTCACTGTGTTTGCCAGCTGTGGCTGTAGGGGAGAGAGGAGAGCATTTGACAACGGCTGGTAAAGCCTGGAGTGGTGACGTCACTCATATGCTCCTATGGCCCATCTGTTGTCGCTCTCTCCCTTTCCCAGCAGTCACTGCTGACTGACACAGGGGAGCCAGATCATGCGTCTAGACTAGTACTTTTCTCGTTTAAAACATTTGATATGTTTTCCATTTTCTCTTGTGAATAAAATATAGGTTTATGAGACTTGCAAATCATTGCATTCTGCTTTATGTAGATTTTACACAGCGTTCCATCTCTTTTGAAATGGGGTTGTAATAGATTAGGCATAATGGTTTCTTTCTTCATCTTCGGTTGTACATATAGGTCCCAGCAGCATGCTAAAGTAGTTCCATGGATGAGAAAAACTGAGTACATCTCCACAGAGTTCAACAGATATGGCGTCTCCAATGAGAAGCCTGAAGTCAAGTAAGTTCAGTGTTGTTGATTGTTTTCCCATGCTCCTTTGCGGCTTTCACACTTCATGTTAGTTTAACCCTGCAGTGATTGTGTCAATGCAGGATCGGAGTGTCCGTCAAGCAGCAGTTTACAGAGGAGGACATCTACAAGGACCGAGACAGTCAGATTGCAGCTATCGAAAAGACATTTGAAGATGCTCAGAAATCTGTGAGTGCAATATGTGATGAGCCTGTCATACTGTCTACATCAGTGTTTCTCAAACCTTTTTACCTTTAAGATACCCTGGGAAAAAATTTGAGATCTTAGGGAACCCCTGAAATGTTGTTCATATCTACAGCTCATGGAATATTATCAGTGAGCTGTTAATAATAATAATAATAATAATAATTTTTTTATTATTTTTAGACAAAGCATTAAAATAAAAGAATAAATATTAATACGTACCTATTTAATGTAAAACTTGTGCTTTTTTTTTTTTTCTGCAGAGATGCTCCGTTCTGGGTCCAACTTGAGATAAACAGTGTGTGGGGTAGCATCAGGACACGGGGTTTCAGGGGAATACACTACATGATACACAGAATATAACTGGATACTAACATTTATAGGTAAAGTTGATCCAGGGAATATCAGATTGCCTCTCGGCAATCATGCTTTGCTGGGGTGTTTTTTGCCTTTCTCTGGATCAACTGTGGGTATAGGATTATAACTTTTTTTTTTTCTATGGTTGAACTGGATGGACTTTGTTTTTCAGCCAGACTAACTATGTAACTATGAGGGGGAAGCAGGGCACATTACGTGGGGGCAGGGCACATTACACGGGACAGACGGTTGGGCACAGTGTAGGGTGGGACACAGCAGGGCACACAACAGTACTGGCTTCAGTGGTGGGTTTCTCAGTCCTCCAGTGGTGTGCTGTTTCCCGCCAGCCCCTCCTCCTATCCTGTCCATCACAGGTGATGTCACATACAAGCACCCAGGATGGGAAGGAGGGACCAACGGGGAACAGCACGCTGCGTCCAATAGTATGCTAGCCACTTCCCTGCCTAACTGCATATGTCAAAGCAAACTGCCTGTCAGCTGCCTACGACTGACAGGTAGATCGTCGCAGAACCCCAGTAGAGGAACACATTATTAACGCTGTTAATTTCTTCTCTTCAGATTGCTCAGCATTACAGCAAGCCTCGTGTTACCCCAGTGGAGGTCATGCCTGTCTTCCCTGACTTTAAGGTATAGTCTTGAAGAGAAATGCCTGGCAAGGGCTAATATAAGTTGGCTGCCCCCACTATCCAGAACAAAACTGCAACTGTGCTAAAGACAGAAGTTCTTTTCATTTAACTTTTTAACCTGAATTGTACAGCATTCAATACAGCCAGTGTTAAGAGGGTTCCTCTGGGGATTTTGGGTGGGAATACAGCCTCTTGTGAGATAAATCCTGTGCGCCCAGAGTGTATGTGTTTGTGTATAATGTACATGAGGCTTCATAGAGAGGGAGGATCTGAGATCGGTAAACATGCCTACCTGCGGTCTAGGTAGTCATGGGTCACCAGAGAGGTGAGTAGAATACCTCTTTTTCAACTCTTTTGAGTTTATTCAAGCAGTGCCTACAGACAAAGGGGATTTACTTGAACAGAACACAAGAAGCATGTGCCCTTTCAATCATTTATTCAAGAAAAATATTACTATATGCACTGTTGAAAAAGTAAATACATCCTTGGTCTCAGAAGCCTTAGCAGAAATGGCTTCTTGTAAGCTCATTGTATAACTGCTCACCGTGCTTCGATATCTGCTTGATCTATGCACCTCCATGTGGTGGTCCTTCAATGTTTGTGGGATTCCTTGCATGATCTGTCCATTTCAATTTCTGGATTTGCTAGTGTTCTTTGGATTGCTTTCTTGATGAAGCATCCACTTCTGGTGCAACCTAAACTTTTGGACAGATGACCTCAAATTTTCATGAAGTACACATTTATATGATGTAGAATTCATACCTGACTCAATGACTGCAAGCTGCCTATTCCTTCAACAGCTAAGCAGCCAAGCCAAAACATTTTTACCACTGTGCTTCACAGTCTGTATAAGATTCTTCTCTTGAAATGCTGTCTTCGGTGTGTGTCACACGTCTACTGCTGCAGTGGCTAAACAGTTCTTATCTTTGGTTCATCAGTCTACATTACATTGGTCTAGAAGGACGGTCCTTTTCTACATAGTCTCACGCTAATGTTATAGCATACTTCCATGCAGGTTGGATTGGTGCAATCTCTTGCCTGATTGTAGATGAATGCACTTTGACACCAACTGTTGCAAGCATTACTTACAGTTCCCGCAATGGAATTTTGGGGTTATTGGCGACTTCTTCTAGCATCAGTCAGCTCTTGAACTGAATTTGCTGGAATGGTTAGTCCTGAACAAATAGTCACTTTTAGATTATTCTCCCTATAGTGGACTGATTATTTATTCTTATTATGTGTCTATTTTGTCAAAGACTTTGCCAAACTTCTAGGTACCCACAATTTTTTTTTTTACGGAGCTTTTTTTTATATTGGTATGATGACATCGAACACATTAGCAGAGTATAGCTGACCCTAGATATCTGAGGTATAAATAGGGCAAGTTCATTGATCTGTAATCTGGTACCCCTAAATCTAAATGTATGTATTTTTAAGTGGTGGTAAATGTGAGGGTGTACGTCTTTTTTTTTTTTTTTTTTTTTTTTTTCCCCATATGAATAATCTTCATTTTCATTAATTTAGATTATGAGAATGAATACACCATATCAGTTTTATGTGTAGATTGTTCAATTATATCACTTTATTGGTTGGAACTGTTTGAATGAAGATCTAATGTTTGTTCAAATATGTTGAAGTCATCAATTTCCATGGGATGTACTTGCTTTTCAAAAGACTATTTTCTGAAAGTAGGGACCTTCTAGAGTAAAATGTCGGTAGTTGCAATGGTTTGTGTCACACAATATTTGGGCTACTGTTAATCTAAAAGATAAGGTTCTACATAGATACCAAATATATCGAGCCTCAAAATTTTGTGGACCAACGAAGCAGTGAAAAACTAAGACGCCCAAAACTTCATAGGTGTTTCTTTTTAAAAGCCTTTACAGCTCATTGAGATGGCATTAACCATGAATGAGGGTCCGGGAATTATTGCTCTCACTTTCGAGTGCGTGGTAAAACCTGATGTGTCACGTAATCTTCATGTTAATGCACTTAGAATTTTTTTTTTTTTTTAAACTCTTACAAGAGGGCTGACAAGCCTTCTATGTGATCGCATGTTAAAGGTCACAGGTTTTTTTTTAGCAGACCCCTGTCACCTCTGAACTCCTCTGAAGCCATTTGAGTACAAACCATGCTTTATTGGTTTCTTCTCCAGCCAGCCTATGGTTTTACAACCCAGAGGTGCTCAGAAATGAGCACTTCAGAGTTCATGCTTCACAGGAAAGATCAGAAAGTGGATGTTCAATGAAGCCAGAAACAGCCAAAAGTCTAGTATTTTCAGGAATTCTTTGAAATGCTGAATATTTAGCTGATATGTTGCATCATTGCAGATTCATTCTTGACATTCTTTTCTATGTTATAATCGTTATTATGGTTCAATTTCTAGATGTGGATTAACCCCTGCGCTCAGGTCATATTTGATTCTGATCCTGCACCTAAGGAGGCCACAGGATCTGCAGCCCTGGATATGATGTCACAAGCCATGATCAGGTAAGCATCCATCCATAATAATATATAGTGCAGCGCTGGTGTATTAATTAAAAAAAAGAACATGCTAAAATGAATACAAATAAAATAGTTCATAAAGTCCTTCCACAATTAAGTGACCATAGGTGTATGAAGGTCTTCCTCCTTATAAAGGTGACTGGTATCGGATAGAAAAAATGCGCACTCACCGACCGCACATTTTAAATGCGCCTTTGTGCACTCTTATGCAGATGACCAGCCAGACATGCAGATCCTAAGGACACATGGACCATCCCTCTCAAATACTGACATCGGCCTTGGGTGCAGTACCTCCAGGTATATAGAGCCCTTTCGTTCCAAAAGATAGGCAGGCAGGGGTCCCCCTCCGTCGGCGCCTGTAAACCACGTGACAGAGCACAACGGGAGGGGCGGGGACTTCCAGGTTACGGAAGCCGAGAGAGAACAACCGCGTTGTTTCTCTCTCGGCTTCCGTAACCTGGAAGTCCCCGCCCCTCCCGTTGTGCTCTGTCACGTGGTTTACAGGCGCCGACGGAGGGGGGACCCCTGCCTATCTTTTGGAACGAAAGGGCTCTATATACCTGGAGGTACTGCACCCAAGGCCGATGTCAGTATTTGAGAGGGATGGTCCATGTGTCCTTAGGATCTGCATGTCTGGCTGGTCATCTGCATAAGAGTGCACAAAGGCGCATTTAAAATGTGCGGTCGGTGAGTGCGCATTTTTTCTATCCGATACCAGTCACCTTTATAAGGAGGAAGACCTTCATACACCTATGGTCACTTAATTGTGGAAGGACTTTATGAACTATTTTATTTGTATTCATTTTAGCATGTTCTTTTTTTAATTAATACACCAGCGCTGCACTATATATTATTATTCTTGCTTAAAGGTCCAGTGATTCCTTAGAGTGTTCCAGCAGCTGAACTATGAGCGCTCGCTTTACCCTTATGCCATAATTTAAGCATCCATCCATGTTCACTGTGCTGCAGTTTATAAAGTACAGGATCCTGTAGACCTAAAGAGTTAGCCTGTGGGGAAAATAATAAAAAAAATCAAACAACTTTTTGCAGAAAAGTTATAGCTATATATATCACTCCAGTGGGCAGGACCCTCAAGTAGTGCTTTCACTGCTTCCAAGAAGTAAAACATCCCACAAACAACATAATGCTGGGCATTGTATCAGTAGGCACAATCATTGGGAGCAGTCCAATAGCAGAATCCAGCTTTTAGTGAGTACATATTTACACATGGACTCCAAGCAGGTCTGGAGCGAAACAAGAATGACACGGTCAACAGAAGTGCCTAAGCTGCCCCTTTTGTAATATATCTGTTGGCTAAGTGGAGTAAAATGAACTACAAACTTTTTTTTTGGTTGTGACAGCCCTTGTAATATCCCTTGTGATAGAAAAAAAAGCAGTGACAGGTCCTCTTTGTTGGAGAGATCTGAGGTCAATAAGACAATGTAAAACATTTGATCCAAAAAAAAAAAAAAAAATTGATCTAATAGAAAAAAAAAATTGGCCTTGTGTACATTGGACCAGAACTGGAAGTGACGTAATGACATCGCTGCAGTCCATCTAGACCACAGAGATGAGAAGACCGAAAATTTAAATAAACAATATTGTTACATTTTGCTATAAAACATACCCAATAAAAAGAAATCTTCATAAATTTAGGCCAAAATGTTTTCTGCTACTTGCCTTTTGGTAAAAAAAAAAAAAAATCCCAGTAAGTGTATAGTAACTGCTTTGCATGAAAATTATAGCATCTACAAACAATAGTATAGATACTGGGGGGGAAATAAATATAAACACATAGTGAAGGAAATAGGTATTTGATCCCCTGCTGATTTTGAATGTTTGCCCGCTCACAAAGAAATGATCAGTCTAAAAATCAAATGGTAGGTGTAAAAAATGCAAAAAAAATGCAAAAGAAATGCATGTCTAACAAATGATGCACTGATTTGCATGTTCATGAGGGAAATAAGTATTTGATCCCCTATCATTCAGAAGAATTTCTGGCTACCAGGTGTCTTTCATACAGGTAACAAGCTGAGATTAGAAGAGTCTCTTAAACGGAGTGCTGCTAATTTCATTTTGTTACCTGTATAAAATACACCTGTCCACAGGAGCAATCAAGCAGATTCCAAACTCTCCACCATGGCAAAGACCAAAGAGCTGTCCAAGGATGTCAGGGACAAGATTGTAGACCTACACAAGGCTGGACTGGGCTACCAAATTAATCGCCAAGCAGCTTGGTAAGAGGGTGACAACAGTTGGTGCAATCATTCGCAAATGGAAGAAACACAAAACAATTGTTAGCCTCCCTAGGTCTGGTGCACCATGCAAGATCTCACCTTGTGGAGTGTCAATGATCATAAGAACAGTGAGGAATCATACCAGAACTACACATGAGGATCTTGTCAGTGATCTCCAGGCAGTAGGTCCACAGTCACCAAGACAACAATTGGTAACACACTACGCCGACAAGGATTGAAATCCTGCAGTGCACGCAAGGTCCCTCTGCTCAAGAAAGCACATGTCCAGGACCGTCTGAAGTTTGCCACTGAACATCTGAATGATACAGACGAGGACTGGTTGAAAGTGTTGTGGTCAGATGAGACCAAAATTGAGCTCTTTGGCATCAAGTCTGCTCGCCGTGTTTGGAGTAGGAGGAATGCTGACTATGACCCCAAGAACACCATCCCAACTGTCAAACATGGCGGTGGAAACATTCTGCTTTGGGGTGTGTTTTTCTGCTAAGGGGACAGGACAACTGCACCGCATCAAAGGGACGATGGACGGGGCAATGTACTGTCAAATCTTGGGTGAGAACCTTCTTCCCTCAGCCAGGGTATTGAAAATGGGTCGTGGATGGGTGTTCCAGCATGACAATGACCCAGAACTTACGGCCAAGGCAACAAAGGAGTGACTCAAGAAGAAGCACATTAAGGTCCTGGAGTGGCCTAGCCAGTCTCCAGACCTTAATCCCATTGAAAATCTGTGGAGGGAGCTGAAAGTTCATGTTGCCAAACGTCAGCCACCAAACCTTAATTGACTTAGAGAGGATCTGCCAAGAGGAGTGGGCCAAAATCCCTCCTGAGATGTGTGCAAACCTGGTGGCCAACTACAGGAAATGTCTGACCTCTGTGATTGCCAACAAGGGATTTGCCACCAAGTACTAAGTCATGTTTTTGTGAAGGGGATCAAATACTTATTTCCCTCCTGAGCATGCAAATCAGTGCATAATTTGTTAGACAAGCATTTCTTTTGAATTTGTGGTTGCTATTTTGTTTCTGTGTTACAATACACCTACCATTCGATTTTTAGACTAATCATTTCTTTGTGAGTGGGCAAAATTTTTTATTATTTATGGCGGCGGATAGCAACTTATAGAGGGACTGTGATAGTGTGGTGGGTGCATTCTTACACTGGGTGGGTACGGACTAATTGATACTGACATCTCCAGTGATCAGTGTTTTGCAGGAAGATAAAAACCGACACATTCCTGCTGACAGAAGAGAAACCTGTGTTGTTTAAATTCACAGATTTCTCTCCTGTCAGTTGCTCCATCAGTTAACGGGTCACGGACATGAATTGCTGGCTGAGACATGGTGATTGACATTTACAGGAGCCAATGCACATGCCCACTACCCGGAAAAGCAAGATCACATATGAATGTATGTATATATGTGTGTGTATATGTATATATAATGTGTGTGTGTATGTATGTATGTATATATATATATATATATATATATATATATATATAATGTAATTCTGCACAGAGTGGCCACCCTGTTGCAGTAAAGTTGCTATAAGGCAGACAGCAACTGGTTGTAAAGTGTAACTCCAGCCCAGTTATGTAATTTAGTTTGTAAAAAGGGGACAGGTTAGAAACCTTGGTCAAATTTGTACTGCTTGAATCTCATTTGGAAAGATGTTCCTGTTGGTTGATTTTCCACTTGTAACTGAGATAGAAAGTGAATGGAAAATGATTAGTGGGGCAGATGCAACAACACACCTGACAGGTGCTAACCTTTCCCCACTCCACTAAACAAAACAAAATTGCTGTATGTTTTTATGTTTATGTAACCACCACCCCTTGAACAAGAAAAAAGAGTGAAACCTAGATTTTAACCCTGTGTCATTTTCCATTTTGGTCTATTCCAGAGGCATGATGGATGAAGAAGGAAACCAGTTTTGTAGCGTATTTCCTGCCGGGTGACGACACCATGCGGAAACGAAAAAGGGACCAGGAGGAGGGTCTGGATTATATGGCTGAGGACATGTAAGTGAAGAAACTAAACACAAATCTCTTCTTTTTGTAGGGCTGCCCTATTATTTCTTTTATAGACCTGTTTTTATGAAATGGGAGATGCATGTTTTTTTTTTTTAACTTGTGCTTTTAATATAAAGATATGACTACAAGATTGCCAGAGAGTACAACTGGAACGTCAAAAACAAAGCAAGCAAGGGCTACGAGGAGAATTATTTCTTCATCTTCAGAGAGGGTGATGGCGTTTACTACAATGAGCTGGAGACAAGGTGAGCTCCTCTTTATGGTTTGTGTGTTTATGATCCAAGAGTTTGATACGATTCCGGCTGTGTGTTCCATTGTGACTTTGTTATTGTTGAGAGGTGTAAACCTGATACAGAGTCTTGCTTGTTTGGTGCAGAGTGCGTCTCAGTAAGAGGAGGGTGAAGGCTGGAGTTCAGTCCGGAACCAATGCTGTCCTGGTGGTGAAGCACAGAGACATGAATGAGAAGGAGCTGGAGGCTCAGGTAGGACTGTGTTCAGTGATGTCAGATGGAGATGGAAATCTTGGTGGTATATCTAGCAGGTGCTTAGAAAATAAGGCAGTATATATTATGAGTTGCCAGAAACCATTCAAAATATACAATCATGTTTTTTTAAATTTGGAGTTGAACAAAGCAAAGGTTTTGCTTTAGGGGCCATGTAGGTCAGAGCAAGAGGTTTGTTTTTATTCCCCACTCCTTAGCTACACATACTCCCCTTTCATTCATCTTCTTGATGCTCCATGAGCCAGTGAGTGAAGAAAGAGACCAAGAGCTTCAGCATATAGATGATCATGTGATGTCCCTATTGTCTCATGTGAAAGCACTGATTTTGGGTACTTGGCCATGGGAGTGAGGAGACCATCCTAAGCCCTATGTAACCTCCAACTAGAATGATTCAGAATCTACACAGAGCTTCCTTTCCTTGCTCTTATCGGCTGAACAGAGAGTTGAGTGATTTCTGCTGGGGAGGGAGACATAAAATGAAAATCTGTTGCATTTCCCTTCATAGTCAAAGCAAAAGCTCTCCTTTAATGGTTTACATGTACTAGAATGGAGCACAATCAACAGGTGGCTTTACTTATTTTATCACTCGCCTTTATCCGCATGCATGATCTTTTCTACTTGTAGCCATGAAATGTGGAACATTCTCTAATGCAGTTAGTGACCTCCTGATAGACAGACATTGGTGGTTTAAATGGCCCCCCTTCCCATACCATAGGTGCTGCTAAATATGATGGCTCTTTGACCACAGGAAAACATTAGAGGGTGGGCCAAACTGACAGCTTCCTGATAGAGGACTTTATTGAACCCTGAGTGTTGGGGCTTAAAGTGGTTTTAAATCCATTCCCCAGTGAAGTGACTGGCCTCAGGTTCTAAACAGAGGTGAAACAAATCCTTCTACACAAGTTGTACCTGTTTATCTGAAGTCTTCTCTACATTCATTCATTAAGCTTGTCTGAGCTTTCAAAAGACCAGGTAGACAGCTTAAATTACACACTGCAGAGCTCAGTGAGGAGAGAGCTGATTGGAGGAAAGGGACCCCCCCCCCCCCCTGCCTCCACACAGCACACAGGAAGAGTGCTGAGGCTCTCAATCACAGGTGTTGTGCTGGAGATTCCTCCCCATCATATTTTTTTCTCTTGGTGTCAGGACTGATTCATGATGATGGCAGTGAAATGAAGCAGCAGAGGGAAATTACACTTAGTGGTCTTAATTGAGACAAGTACACACTGTAGCGGGATATGCGTTCATATTTTGTGTCTGCGGTTTACAACCACTTTAAGGACATTTTTAAGATAAAAGAATATTCCTGCAAGCAGTTGTAGGTTGGGTCTATACAGTTCAGCGGATGGTGTATGCAGTATTTATTTCTAGTCCAGGTGTGCTTTAAAATTTACCAGTGACCAGAAAATGATCTAGTCTTCCACTTTTGAGAATACTAGTTCCCTGGCTGTCATGCTGAGGCTGTAGCTATGATCACTGTCCCCAGATGTCTAGAGAGTATAATGATAAGGAATTCTGATACTTATTTACTACATGCTTGTTTTTACTTATTTACTACATGCTTGTTTTGGGGGTCTGAGATGTAAAATAGGAATACCAGATTTGGCCAGGCAACTAGCATTTTTAAGAGGCCAACAAAGGCAACACTGATATTTCTCTGGTGACAGGGGTACTTTAAAGTGTACCTGTGTCCAGATGATGTACATTAAAGTATTTACATATTTTTAAAAAGCAGTAACAAAGCTTAAGTGTTCTTTCACGTGGCCATTCATTACAGCATAGTGGCCGTACAGCGTACAGTGCGCCTGTTGTGGCTCATGGGAGCTCTAGCTGCAATGTAATTTTGATCATTGACATGCATTACAGGATTTTTGTTTTTAAAAAAAAAAAAAAAAAAAATAACACCCGTGCATGTGTAAAATCAAGTGCTGGAACCATCACTACAGGCGTGTTTACTTTGTATGGCCATACACCTTACACCCCAGTCACATCGGGTGCGATTTGCAGGCCATGCGACTTGCAATCGTATGCCAAGTCGCACCCTATTGTCCGCTATTAGAGCGGTCATATCGATGCGGTTCCGACTTGGTCGGAGCCGCACTGATTTCTAAAGTAGTATATACACTACTTTTGGTGCAAATTTGCATAGACATCTGTGTCAGATGTCTTGCAGATCGCACCTTAAATCGGCATCTCACCCGACTTTGAAATCGTAACGACTTCTGTGTAAGTCGCATGTTTTCAAAATCGGCTTTGATGTGACATGGGTGTAAATGTACACATTGAATTTGAATGTGTCAGGCACACTTTGTCCAGTAGGGGGAGCCATTGTATATGTTGCTGAATTCTCTCCTCACTTGCAGGAAGCCCGCAGAGCTCAATTGGAGAATCATGAGCCAGAGGAAGAAGAGGAGGAAATGGAAGTGGATCACGATACTCAGGGATCAGGTATGGTCTTTTTATGGTTCTGTGTAGACTGCTGTATATTAATGCCAATGTTACCACAATTGAACTGGTTAGTATGTAAGCTTTGTTCTGGTTAGTTTTTAGCCAGTGATGATGGCAGCACAATGCCCCATAGGGCTACAGTGAGAAACTTGTTTAGGTACAATTGAACAGAAAATTGTGGCTAACATTGTATGTTACTGATATGTAACGGTCCCTGTTCCATGTACTGTATATATTCAGCAGCACAGAGCGCACACAGTGGTGATAGCAGACTCGTACACAGGCTCTTGTTCCATGGGAGCACCTGAAGTCTGCAATTGGTAGAGTGACAACACAGATTAGAAGAACCTCGGGAATAACTTACATTTGCTACTAAGGCTTGTAATCCCTGTCACAGTCTATTGGTGATTTAGCAGTAACCTGTAATGAAAATTGGCAAAATTTCAATGCAGATCTAATTTATGGCATTATGAAGCCTCAGAATAAATGCAATGTAATTGTCTGAATAAGCCAATATAATATTTGAGGATTGCTGTTATAATTGTTTATGATGACATATGCGTGTACCACCCTTGTAATTTGTGAATTATGATGCTTTTTATATTACAGTGCATCAATTCTGAACACCATGGGGGAGATTTACTAAAACAGGTGTACACAGAATCTGGCGCAGCTCTGCATAGTAACCAATTAAGCTGGAAGCTGATTGAACAAGCTGAATTAGAATATAGGGCAGCTCTGCATACTAATCAACCAGCTTCTGTGTGCACCAGTTTTAGTAAATCTCCTCCAATATGTGCTTCTTGATCATACTATGGACAGGGGTCATTCGCCCCTCATGTTTTCCTTAGTGTTCTCCACTGTTGGCCAACGGGCCCTCAACTCTGTGTTCCATTACTGGACTTTGCTAGTTCAGGCTAGAGGTCACCCAGTTTAATGTGCATCAAGACTCGGAACACATCCCCCCCCCCCCCCCCCATCTTCTATGAAAGCTCACGGACCAAGAGTTGCCCACCTACCTTTTGGGACAGGGAGTAGAGCATTCCTGTCCCCAACCTTCCCACACTTCTTGTGTCTCTTTCCCAGGCTGTGTTCTGCATAAATCACACATTATCTGACTTTCTATTTTGCTAGGCTTGTCTGACGTCCACAGTCAGGTAGGAGACATGTTTGTCAAAATTGGTGGTCTGATAAACAAACCTTGTTTTGCGCAGGAAAGGGTAATGCAAACAAATTAAAGATGGACATCATTGCGTTAAACTTCTACAGCCGATTTGGTACATAATGTATATTTTGCTAGCATTGCTGATTACCAAGTGATTGTGTCTCCCATAGATGCAGAAGACGGAGAGAAGGGCAGTGAGAGTGAGAAGGAAGGCAGTGGCGGAGAGGCCTCGGGAAGTGAGAGTGAGAGAGAGGATGGCCAAGAGGAGAAGGAAGAGGAAGAAGAGGATAAGGAGAGCAGTGAAGAAGACAGAGCTGCCAGGGACAAGGAGGAAATCTTTGGCAGCGATGATGATGACAGTGATGATGACGTGCAAAATGAAAGTGGAGGCGAAGCAGAGGAAAGCGGCAGTGAGGAGGAAGAAGAGGAAGACAAAAACAGAGGACGGAGAAGCCGCAGCGCTAGCAGCAGTCCGTTTGGGAGTGACCGATCCCAGCAGGAAAATGAAGAGCAAAGTGGCAGTGAGCAGGGCTCTGCCTCCAGTGATGGCAGCGATAGCGACTGAATACACATCCTGCTCAATATCCAGTTTTGTAAATATTTGTTATATTATAATTTTAGTTCAATAAAAGTTTTCACGGTTTAAATGTAATTGTATTTGCAGTAGAATGTAAGAGATCGGGACTCTTTTATTCTGACATGGTGAGTGGCGTAGAGGAAGGAGAGCTGTCACCCTGTCACTTTTCCCTGGCTAGCTAAGCCGGAAAGGAATGTATTGCAATACATTCAGTGGAGCCCAGAGGGGACATGCAGGGTCTTTTAGACCCTGTAGGGTTAGGAACTCATGTCCTCTCTTTATTGCTCTGTGCTCCTGCAGAAATGCAAGTTTGACTTCCTGTCTCAGTGACCACACAGGAAGTGACTGAAAATTTCCCCTGTAAAGATAAAAAAAAAAAAAAAAAAAGAAACTGACTAGATGCTCATTAGGGGTGCAGGTCAAATCCACACCCTTTGTGAATGGCAGAAGAATTGGTCCATTGTGTTAAGCCAAAAACAGAAGTGAAGCAGTGAATTCCTGTGGTTTGCTGAGGATATGTGATCAATAGACACATGAATTTAATATATACTAGAACAGGTAAATCAGGTTTGGGGACCAGCCAATCAGTAACATTTCCCAAGAAGAGACCGGTATAATTATGAATACTTGAAATAATGGAGAATTATGTCAGATGCGATTTTACTTCACAGGCAACAATGGTAAAATCCAACATTTTACAGTTATCTTACATGTATGGGCTGAAATCATGGTGTCCCATCTGAAAGCAAGTCTGTTGTAGAAAAGAAAAAAAAAAAAAAAAAAGCATAGAAAGTGTTTAAAAAAAAAAAAATGTAAACCCAACATTTCATTATTTCTGATATGTACTTGCTGTACCATGTACTTGTAGGAAAAAGTATCTTATTCTCTTTGTATTGCTTCCTATGTGTGAAATCCCTGGTGTTCCTGCCATTCCTTCTGCTTTCCTATTAAAAACTGACCGCACTAGACAGGAGAGCACAGCGTGGTCAGTTCTCTAGCTGTGCTGGGAACTCAGTGTGCTCTCCTTCAATGAAAGACATATCTTTAGTGTTCATTCCAAAATTACAGCTAGTATATGGTGCAGGATAGGCAGGTGTTCTCAACACATTTCCTGGTATGTATTCATTTCTTCAGGAGTATGATGGGTGTAAACTAGAATAATAAAAGAAAACAAACCGTACATGAAGAATTATCCATCACAATAGTATTCATATATTCAGAATTGGCATATGGCGTATATAGCCATACCAGGGTGTTGTCCACATAGGAGAAAAATCCCCTCTAAAGACAGATGTTTGGGCTTCTAGGCTGTAAACATGGCAGCCAGACTGGGGGGGGCAGCAACTAGAAACGATGGATAGAAATACACTTAATCAATTAGAGATTATTTGAGCCCCATTTGTACATGAGCAGGGAGGCAAAAGAGAAGGCCTCTGATTGGGGTCTCCATGTGCCTGTGTGGGTTTCCTTCAGGTATTCTGGTTTCCTTCCACACTCCAAAGACATGCTGGTAAGGTAACTGACTCCTGTCTAAAACTGACCCTAGTATGTGTATGTATGTGGGTTTAGGGACCTTAGATTTTAAACTTCTTGAGGGCAGGGACTGAGGTGAATGAACAATGTATCTGTAACGCCCTGCGTGAATTGGTGCTGTATAAGTACCTCAAATAAATGAACATTAAATGACAAAATAACTAAGAGATCAGGATACATGCTAACTACAAGTGAACGAGGCTAACTATAAATGTAAATAAATACCACAAACTTATTCCAAAAGTACTTTTATAATACAAGTACAAAAGCAGGGGGTGAATGGTGTGGCATACCAAGCCCCGCCCATTATTGATAATGTATCAAGAAGAGACCTATCGTGTATCAAGAAGGGTCCTAAAAGAAGGCCCAGACTAATAAGCAAGCCAATTGTAGATACCTCAAAGTTAGTTTAGTCAAGTTTACCTATATGGAGCGGTGATGCTTCATGTAACCTGTTGGTCCCACAACCTCCTGGGGCAACAACCTGGCCTTTATTGGTCCATCAGATGGATTACCCTGCCGATTATGTACACCCCAAGGGTGGCACACAGGGCAAGGTATGAAGTCGCCCACTCAGATCAGCGTACGATGGTGGATAATGTCACCTGAGCCTGTCTAGGTCCAGCTCTTCCATTAATGGCAAACCGCATGGTGCACCAAGATTTTTTATTTAAAAAAAAAAGGGTCTGAGACTTCCTTCCCCGTGTTTCTTGCGACTAGGGCAGCTCATTGAAATGAATGGGCTGCCCTACAGGCGCCATTCACAGGCATAGGTGCAAACCCAGACTTAACGTTCGATTATTTCTATGCTTCTTAATGATCAACATTTTACAGTTGTCAGTAAGACAGGAGGAGAGGAGAAATCTTCCAGTCGGGGCACATCTTCCAGTGATAACTGTCTGAGAGGAGAATTCCCCTACAGTGAAGGAAATAAGTATTTGATCCCCGGCTGATTTTGAATGTTTGCCCACTCACAAAGAAAGGATCAGTCTAAAAATGGAATGGTATGTGTATTGTAACACTGAGAGACAGAAAAGCAACCAAAAATTCAAAAGAAATGCTTGTCTAACAAATAATGCACTGATTTGCATGTTCATGAGGGAAATAAGTATTTGTTCCCCTTCACAAAACATGACTTAGTACTTGGTGGCAAATCCCTTGTTGGCAATCAGAGATTAGACGTTTCCTGTTGTTGGCCACCAGGTTTGCACACATCTCAGGAGGGATTTTGGCCCACTCCTCTTGACAGATCCTCTCCAAGTCATTAAGGTTTGGTGGCTGATGTTTGGAAACGTGAACTTTCAGCTCTTTGCACACATTTTCAATGGGATTAAGGTCTGGAGATTGGCTAGGCCACTCCAGGACCTTAATGTGCTTCTTCTTGAGCCACTATTTTGTTGCCTTGGCCGTGTGTTTTGGGTCATTGTCATGCTGGAACACCCATCCATGACCCATTTTCAATACCCTGGCTGAGGGAAGAAGGTTCTCACCCAAGATTTGACGGTACTTTGCCCCATCCATCGTCTCTTTGATGCGGTGCAGTTGTCCTGTCCCCTTAGCAGAAAAACACCCCCAAAGCAGAATGTTTCCACCACCATGTTTGACAGTTGGGATGGTGTTCTTGGGGGTCATAGGCAGTATTCCTCCTCCGAGTTGAGTTGATGCCAAAGAGCTTGATTTTGGTCTCATTTGACCACAACACTTTTAACCAGTCTTCCTCTACGTCAGGGGTCCTCAAACTACAGCCTGCCGAGGCCATTTATCCGGCCCGCCGGGAGGGGCGTATTTTCCGCGAGGAAGGGACACTAAGTACAGGGGTGGGTAGGGGGCTGCTGTACCTTACCTGGCTCCGGTCCCAGTCCCACGACGATCCAGTCCAAGAAGCGCTGCTGCTTCATTCACTCCGGCCACTCCCTCACTCCTGCCGCTCGGCTCCGCCTCCTCACCGGTGATTGGGCGCTAAAACTGTAGCTCAGGAAAGGCACACAGGCGGCCAATCACCTGCAAGGAGGTGGAGCCGAGCGGCCCCGCAAACATCAAGTGAGGGAGAGGCCAGAGTGAAGGACAGCTGACAGGTAAGTGTGCCGTGCTGATGGTGCTGCTGCAACCAGGTATGCTGACTACACCAGCACCATGCTGGAACAGGGGTCAGCAAGTTAAGTGTTATTGGTGTCAGTGGGAGGAATAGTGCCCCATCATTGGTGTCACTGATACTAATGATGGGGCATTATTCCTCCCACTGACACCAATGATGGGGCACTATTCCTCCCCCCCCACTGACATCAATGATGGGGTACTATTCCTCCCACTGACACAAATGTTGGGACACTATCCCCCCCACTGACACCAATGACGGGGCACTATCCCCCCCACTGACACCAACGACGGGGCACTATTCCTCCCCCCCACTGACACCAACGACGGGGCACTATTCCTCCCCCCCACTGACGCCAACGACGGGGCACTATTCCTCCCCCCCACTGACGCCAACGACGGGGCACTATTCCTCCCCCCACTGACGCCAACGACGGGGCACTATTCCTCCCCCCACTGACGCCAACGACGGGGCACTATTCCTCCCCCCACTGACGCAACGACGGGGCACTATTCCTCCCCCCACTGACGCCAACGACGGGGCACTATTCCTCCCCCCACTGACGCCAACGACGGGGCACTATTCCTCCCCCCACTGACGCCAACGACGGGGCACTATTCCTCCCCCCACTGACGCCAACGACGGGGCACTTTTCCTCCCCCCACTGACACTAACGACGGGGCACTATTCCTCCCACTGACACCAATGCTGGGACACTATCCCCTTCCCCTACTGACACCAACGACGGGGCACGTTTCTTCCCACTGACACCGACGACGGGGCACGAATCGTTTCCTCCCACTGACTGGGCACGATTTCTCCCACTGACACCAAGGACGGGGCACTATTTTGCTCCATAAGACACACTTGGGGGGAAATGTCTGTGTGTCTTATGGAGCGGCTGGCCCAGTATTCCCGCTGCCGTTGTATGTCCGCAGTCTCTGGTCATTTCCTGTACAGTGTCCGCATTTGTTCATAGTTTATTTTTTTTTTTTTTAAAACTATAGTCTGGCCCTCAAACGGTCTGAGGGACAGTGAACTGGCCCCCTGTTTAAAAGGTTTGAGGACCCCTGCTCTACGTCATTCAGATGTTCAGTGGCAAACTTCAGACGGGCCTGGACATGTGCTTTCTTGAGCAGAGGGACCTTGCGGGCATTGGAGGATTTCAATCCTTGTCGGTGTAGTGTGTTACCATGTGTAGTTCTGGGATGATTTCTCACTGTTCTCGTGATCATTGACACTCCACGAGGTGAGATCTTGCATGGTGCACCAGACCTAGGGAGGCTGACAGTTGTTTTGTGTTTCTTCCATTTGCGAATGATTGCACCAACTGTTGTCACCTTCTCACCAAGCTGCTTGG